CTTCGAGTGAGTCGTCGGTCTAGTTCAGTCGAACCAGTCCGCGAAGTCCAAACGGTTCCAAGAGAATTTCAGTTCAGTCGAACCAGTCCGGGCAGTTCAGACAGTTCGGTAGTTTAGTACGGAACATTGATTTGAGCGTGAACCGAGAACCTAGTTTTTCGAACCAGCCAGATAAATTTAAGATATATATTTCAGATGGATTTTAAAATCCAGATATATTTCAGATAAATTTCAGTTAGATTTAATTCCAAATAGACTTAAGTCCAGTTAGATTGTAGTCCAATCAGATTTAATTTCAGTCAGAATATAATCCTCCAGACTTAGAAATATTTCACAGAACTCTAAAATGCCTCAAAGACAATAATATCTTCAAAATCAGCTCTTAAATTCCTAAAATAATTTCTTTAAAGCCGAGTGAGTGAACCTTGACAGATCAGATAATAAAAATTTGAGTTTTATTCTCAGCCTAGTACTTAGAATATTTCACTCCTAATTTTGTAACTTGAGGAGAGTCGAGCCTCCACCTGCTACACAGTATATTTAAGATATTTCAGTATTTACATTTGCCAGCTTCCAGGTGGGGACCACTGTACTGTGTATCTCATCGCTTTTAATAATTTACCATGTCTGATGTCTATATGTGATTAGATTGAAGGATCGAGACGGTTGAGTGATCCCGTCTTGGTCAATATTCCGTAGTTCAGTTATGACTTGGATGTGTATGATTAGGGCCCGTTTTAAGTCTAGCGTCCATATGGGGTGATTGGTCCCTTTCTTGGATTTCTGTGGGATGAGACCCCCAAAGTGTGCACTTGAGTACCGTTAGTCCAGTTTATTTATATATTTGCTGATTACATGATGGGTTATTAAATGTGTTGAATATTCAGTGTCGGTTCCGGCAGAGCATCGTTAATTATTGATGTGCACGCCTCCCCACTAACCATTTTTCAGGTGATGGAGTCCTGCGTGGAGCGTGAGCTGGATGTGATGGTGGTCATGAGCAAGGATATTTGTGTTATGTCATGTTTTGTATTGTTTGAATTATTTATGCCTTAGTTTATGTTTCGTTTATTGCTTGCACATGTCTTTGATGTTTGAACCTATATTTGCTTCCGCATTCCAGACTAGTATTTCAGTATTTCAGAATTTCAGACTAGTATTTCAGTACTTCAGGATTTTCAGACTAGTATTTCAGTATTTCAGAATTTTAGACTAGTATTTCACTATTTCAGGATTTCAGACTTGTATTTCAGTGTTTCATAATTTCAGACTAGTATTTCAGGATTTTGGACTAGTATTTCAGCATCTAGAATTTCAGTCTATGCATGCTTAAATCCTGAGATGTTCATGACGCCTTATTAGAGTAATGAATTATACTCGGTTGCATGCCTACTAGTTTAAAAATATTTACGATTAAAGATTTAATATTAAAGATGAGTAGCATCCCGCATATTAAAGTTAAAGTATTTTCGAAAAGTAACTCAGTGCTTCCTATTTATAGCACAAAAAATTTACTCTAATTTTAGTAAGTCTGGGCGGGGTGTTACAAAAGTATAAATAAAAAAAAGTTGACTGGGTAAAGTGCAATGAAACGTATAGGTGGGTCGGTAAAGTGTAAATTTTTCAACGAACAATTAACTTAATGAATGTTTGAAAAGTCAAAGCCATTAGAAATTCCCGACGATGACCGTAAATTGGTTAAGTGCAACTTTTTGCAAAGTTATATGGGAAATTACGAAAAAAGTTGAGTGGATAAAGTGCAAAAAAAACCCTATAATTAGGTGGGTAAATTGTAGTTTTCCCTTAAAAATAATTTTATGTAAAAATAGAAGAGAAATGATGTGAAATGACAATGAATTAAATTTATGTGAGTAAATAAATAGTAAATTAAAATTAATATGATGTATAAAAATAATTGACTTTTATTATTTATTATGTTGATAATATTGAATATAACTGGATTCAGCCAAATTTGAATTAGATTTTCAATATGAATTGAATATAAATAAATTATTTTGTAAACAAGCATGCTCTTAATCACTACAAAGTCCACGCGAGAGCAAACAAATCAGAGTAAATGGAGGTCACCCACCCGAGTTCGGGGGACTGCTGTGACAAACTTACAGCAGCCCCAACTATTAAATATCAACCCTTGATTCCTTGATCACTACAAAGTCCACGCGAGAGCAAACAGTTCAAAGTAGAGGGAGGTCACCCCACCCGAGTTCGGGGGACTGCTGTGACCAACTTACAGCCGCCCCAACTATTAAATATCAACCCTTATTAAAAATGATCAAGGTTATAAACAAATGACAAATAAATTGTCACAACCTTTATTTTCAGTGAGCACTTCTCATTCAACATTCAAAAGTCTTCTATTTGGGAGTTTTCTACACCCATTAGTACTTATGGCCTTCTCTGCTTTTTTCTTCTTCCCACTTAACAATGCAACATCGTTTTTCATTAGGTGAGTGTGAGCTCCAATTCAAGTATTTTATTTTTTTTTTCAATTAGCCACTCCAAATTATATAATAAACTTATCTATGCAAGAGGAAAAAAGAGGAGCAATAACACCAAATTATACCACCACTAAAATATTCCCCTTTCATATTTGTTCTCCCATTGCTTTCACACACCTGTTGCACACGCACAAAAATCTCAGTCCATGGCATGTTGCTTCGGATACTGAGACTAAAACTCCATCCAACTAAAACCCACTTCGTGAGGAGGAGCTCAGCTTGAGCTTGGAGGCGTCGGGCCGACCTTTCGTGTGGGTGGTGAGAAGGAGCGTGCTGGAAGAGGAGCTCAGCTTGAGCCTGGAGGCGTCGGGCCGACCTTTTGTGTGTGTGGTGAGGAGGAGCGTGCTGGAAGAGGATCTCGAGCTCGTGTCGTGGCTCAGGGGGGCCGAGGAGAGGGTGCGAGGTAAGGGCCTTGTGATCCACAGGTGGGCCCCACGCAGGTGATTATACTCTCCCACCTGAGCATCTAGGGGTTCGTGACGAACTACAGGTGGAATTCGACGCTCGAGGGGACGACGTCTAGGGTGTCGATGCTGACATGGCCAGTATTGGCAGACGAGATCTAAAACGAGAAGTTCAACGTGTTTGTGCGAAGAAAAGGAGGAGGAGTAGTTCAGGTGAAGTCGGGAGTTGTTAAGGCGGCGGAAACTGAACGGAACTATCTCCCAGTCGTTGACCAACCTCACTTTGCTCGTAGACATTGAGATGTCGAACAACGAGTTGTCTGGGATGATGGCCATGTTCAACACCTTCCCGGACTATCGTTTCGCAAACAACTCGGGCCTATGTGGGTACCCGTTGCCTTCATGCACGTCGAGGTTGGTCTCTAGCGGGTCCACCCGGTATCGAATACTGTCAACAGGCAGGAAATGTGGCAATGGGCCTTCTCTTTTTGCTCTTGTTCGTATTTGGACTGATCCTTGTTGCAATCGAGGCCCGTAAGAGACGGCGGAAGAAGAAAGAGGCAACCCTTGAGGCCTACATGGAGGCCCACTCGGGCCCACAGAGCGGTGACTTGAAAGTAAGCGCTCGTGAAGCCCTTAGCATAAACCTCGCCGCATTCGAGAAGCCTCTCCGGAAACTCACGTTTGCCGACCTTCTAGATGCTACACACGGCTTCAAGGACGAGAGCCTTATTGGTTCGGGAGGTTTTGGCGACGTGTACAAAGCCGAGCTCAAAGACGGGAGTGTGGTCGCGATCAAGAAAATGTTCCACGTCAGCGGGCAAGGGTAGCGCGACTTCACAACCGAGATGGAGACGATCGGGAAAATCAAGCATCGGAATTTAGTTCCCCTTCTCGGGTACTGTAAAGTCGGGGAAGAACGACTTCTCGTGTACGAGTACATGAAGTACCGGAGCTTGAAAGATGTTTTGCACGACCGGTAGTAAATCGGGTTGAAATTAAACTGGCCAGCGAGGCAGAAAATCACGATCGGGGCCGCTCGGGGACTAGCTTTCCTACACCACAACTATATCCCGCATTACAAGGATGCTGAAAATAAAGGCTGGTTTTTTTTCTAATGGGTTTTCGCCGGCGACTTACAAATTTTTTTTCAATGGGTTTGCAAGAAAGCTCCGATATAGAAGACTGTTGAGTGTTAGAACAAGAAGTGCTCACCGAAAATAAAGGTTGTGACAATTTATTTGTCATTTATTTATAACCCTTGATCTATTTTTAATCATTTAGGAATTCAAGGGCTAATATTCTGCTGTAAGTTTGTTACAACAGCCCCCGAACCCCACCCTTGATGTTGAGTGTTAGAACAAGAAGTTGCAAGTGCGTATTTCTTGAGTTGCATCAAAAGAGCGAAAACATAAGGGGAAAATGAAAGGATACTATGGTAAGAGGATGCAATAAAGCCAAGAAATAAAAAAAAAAAAAAAAAAAAAAA